GCCTTCCTTGAGGCAAGTTAACAGCTATGTATTTACACATTCAGGATTAGAAATTCTATTTTGAAAGATTTTTAGGGCACGTATTCCTGTGGTCACAACCCGCAGTATGAGGAAGTCTCTCTGACCTGTTAGTGAGAGGCTAGAAGACAAAGTGTGCAGTGACTATCTGGGACCCTTTTCATTCCAAAACGGGAGCCCTTATAAACCTTACCCTTTTCTAAATAACTGCTCATTTTGTGTGGGCGGGACCCTCAGGTACGTCCCAAGTTTTCCTATTTTTCTGGGTCTGGGGAATGAGTTGGGACCACTCTGCCGGAAGCTCTATTCAGTGTCCTGACATCCTGAAAACCTGCCAAAGCAGCTCCCCCAAAACAAAAACCTCATAGACACAGGCATAGAACAGTGATGAGCAGAGGGAAGGGGGGTTGGAGGAGGTAGGAGAGGGTAAGGGGGGACAAAGGGCGATGGACGGAGACTTGGCTGGGTGGCGAACACACAGTACACTATACAGGGGATGGGTTCCAGAACTGAACACCTGAGACCTATAACATTTTATTAACCAAGGTCACCCCAATTAATTAAATAAAATAGCCAGAGATATTAGAGAGAGTTCACTGTCCGACTACTTCAATCATGGAAGTTAGGGCTGGGGTAAGCCTTTGAAACCTGCAGCCTCAGCTCACTCATTCTTGGGCGATGAAAGTGGGGATTGTAGGGGCGCATTCACATGGAGGCTACGTGCCCAGTAAGAGCCCAAGGCCCCTCATTCCTAGATGGGGTGCATCCCTCACTGAAGCTGTAGTAACACTAACGATTGTGTTAGCTGGAGAGCCTTTCGAGGCTGGGAGCTCTTCCATGCAGACGGCAAGAGGACTGATCCAGATGCGGCAGAATGCGGGAAAGCTGTGACCAGCGGCGGCCACCGCATGCTGAGGAGCCTTGAGCATCTGTGAATTATTGAAAGGAATTTGCGAAACCATCTCTGCCCCCCAATCTTGATCTTTATATCTCTAACAAAGCATGCAACATGATTAAACACATAGAGAAAATACTGCTGTAATTAATATAGTAACTTTCATTTAAAGAAGTAAAATTCCCTTTACCTAATTTCTCTGCCTCAGTTTCATTATCTGTAAAATAGGAATCATACTTTTATCTTCTTCATAAGACTTTTGTTAGGATTCAGTAAGAAAATTCATGTAAAGTGCTTGAAACAGTCCTCGGCATAGGATCATCGCTAAGTATTAGCTTTTAAAATTAGTAATAACACTTAAGAGTACTGCAAATTTAACCATAGCTGTTGGTCATGCATTTTTCAAAATTAAAGGCTCTGTGAATTACAGCAAGGGCCTGTGAAGATCAAAATATGTTTTGATATTAAATACTCAAACTGATTTAGACATATGGTTTGTTTTTAACCCCAATTTTTGAAAATTTAATTTACTGGGGAGACATTGGTTTGTGAAACCATAGAGGTGTCAAGTGTATGACTCAACAGAACATCGTTTGCTCTCTGCATCGTGTGCCCACTGCCCCAACCAAAGTCTCTGTCCGTACCTGGGTCCCCCTTGCCCACCTCCACCTGTCGCCCACACCCTTTTCCTCTTTCGACAGACATATGGTTTTAGTTACTTCTCAGTTTACAAATAAAATTAGAGCCCTGACCATCTTACTGGAAATTGTGGTCTCCCACCAGTGTTTCCTACCCCCCTTCACTGCCTAACTTTTCTGTTGTACATCCCTTTCTATATGTAAATTACTTTTTAAATTTAAATAAATATTTCCTCTGCCCTTTCTCCTTCCCTAGACTGTAGACACTGTGGAGGTTAATTTTTTTTGGCCTGTTTTGTTCATTTTGGCATTTGGCAGAGTGAGAGCAAGCATACTATAGAACAATAAATACTGTTAAATTGATTGAATAGAAGAAACAGCCTCCAAATGGGTTTTAATGAAACCTGAATAATGTAATTTGAGTCTGTAATTACAGAAGCTTCTGTAATACTCCTCAGTATTTCTGCCAGATTGAGGATATTTCATAGACTTTAGAAACGAACTTGTCTCTTCGATTGTCATTCATTGTTTTAGCAAGAGTGATAATCTGGTTAATCTCTAGTTTGTTGTAAGAGTTGATGGAAATAAAATAAAAAAACTAGAACTCTTGAGATTCAGATTTATTTTTAAATACTTATCATTTATTTAGTTAGTCCACCTCTTATATATATATGTGTGCATGTTCTTTACATACACAAAAAAGAGAACGTCTGATGTATACTCCTCTGCACTTTGCTTTTTTCACTCCATAAAATACTTTGAACATATTCTCATACGAATACATGCATATCTGCTTAATTCCTTTTAATGGCTACATAGTTTTATACCACATGGATGTATTATATTAGATTGAACCATTTTCTTAATTGTGGCCATTTAGTTTATACACACACAGCAATAAACCCCTTTGTAATATACTTAGTACACTTTTGTAGCACATCCATGGGGTCAACAGTTGTATTCTTAGCAGTAAAACAGCTCAAATGATACGTAAATTTAAAATTTTGCTAGATATTGCCAAATTGCCCACTGAAACATGGCTCCTTCAAGTGTCTCAGAGGGTGAGTTTCTGATTTTAATGTGGTTATTTCACATTTTAGTTGTGATGAAGAATACTTCAGTAAAAAAAAAAAAAAAATGGGGTTCACCATTTTATAAATTTCTGTTCAAGCCAAAAGCTTGAGATCAGATATAAAAATTGTTTCTCAAAAATGAAAGCATGTCTTCCTAATAAATCACTAAGCTTTTTGAACTTTCCTATAAGCTCAGAGAAGAATACTGGAATAAAAGCCACCAAATTCATTGACAGATGACTGAAATATGTCCTTCAATTTACTGCTAGGCACCGAGTGAGATACAAAGAAAGAGAATTCGTTGTCAGTGTCTGGGGAGAGGAGACGGGGACCGAAGATGCTTCCCATGTTTTTTATCCAACTCACAGATAAGCTGCTCCAGTACCAGGCTTTCGATCATTAAGCTGATCGCTGCACTTGCTGCCAGTTTAGTTCAGGGTAAAGAACACACCTCTCCTGGGTTTCCTGTGCGGCGCGGGAACATGGGACGGTGGGATCAGGCTGTTCAGACAGACTAGGCTGTGAGCGGACACAATGGTGTGAGGCCTAAACAGCAGGCCCGGGCTCCGGGTTGGGTGGTCTTTTTAAAGGCCCGTGGGAGCTGAGGTTTCTGAACAATTGAAGTTTCCTTGTCTAACCTCGAGACAGATCCCCAGCCCATCCCCAGCCCATCCCCAAATTTGGATCCTCTTATCCAGGACTGCTTCAACGGGGAAACCGAAGCAGAGGGTTTGGCTGTTGTTGCTGTTGCTTGTTTATTTGTTTTTCTTAGTAGATTTTGAAGAAAGAGATTTCTTCCAGAATAATTCTCTCAAGTTTAGAAAGAACAAATTCTCGAAGCATTCTGTGTGGTCAGCATGTGATCAGGAGAAGTTGATTTACAAGAGGTTGCCAATTCTCAGTTCTCAGCAGACACACTATCTGTTTTAACTTCCCAAAGCTGGTAAAGTAGAGGTGGATTTTCTTTCAGTTATCATAAAAAACTGCAAGAACAGAACCCTTAAAAATATTCTGATTTCCTTTTTGGCTCTAACTGTTCTGAGGCAATTTAGAAACTGCTCTAAATTAAGACGGCACGTCAAAGCTTCTTATTTGAGGAGATGCTCATAAAAGAGCTAATGGGTAGCATCTCCTTTTATAACATTTCGTTGTTATGAAGAGAAATTGTTTTATGTTAAAGAGATAATTTTGATTCAAATAAAGGTAATTATTTCACTAAGTTTTTAAAATTCATGGCCCAGCATATAATATCAAATGGTTCCTTATTTGTTAATTTTCAACATCTCTAGGCATTTGGGGGATATCTAAAATTATTTGAGGATATTTTACCTACCCATTACCATGCGATTTTCATACAAACATGGAACCAAGGAATGCTCAGTGGCACAGGGAGACAGTGAAGAAAAATCTTCCCTGGGGGGCCGTGGAGGAAGGGCAGCTGTTCCGCAGGTTTCTTGTAAGTAGCATCCGCTCTTGAACTCCAAACATCTGCGATCCCGTGGAGCCGCTGGAGGTGGCTTTGTGAGCGTTGAGAGAGTTTAGTGCAGAGTGAAGTCTACCTGGTTTTGACCTGCTCCCCTCCCTTGACCGAGTTGTCTGTAGGCAGCTCAGCGCATCTGATCAAGCAGCTCCAGAGGATGATCTCGTTTGCTCTCAAGCACAGGTTCTTCCTTTCTTTTGCCATGTGAACTTCTCAAATCTCTTATTTCTTATTTTTTTGCTTCTGAGCATGCCCCAGGGCTCAAGAAATGCTATTTACCATTGCTAGTGCAGACTGGGGAGCCCGGGCACAGGACTGGTCTTTCTGCTAAAGGATATGTTTGCTTTACTTTTAATCGTAAACAACAAGGTAGCTTTCTGGAAGAAAATTTCTTTACGACATGAACCTTTGGGTCTTTT